GTGAGCCTCCTGCTCCTCACGGCCTCTCCTGCATTCATGATGTCAGGAAAAACCGTCCTGCTCTGGGTGGTGATGTAAAGGCAGCATTTATTTAACTTGCATTTGTGCCAGAGCCCAAAGCACAACAACAACAACAACAAAATGGAACGGAGGCTGACTAATGCGTTGTGGGCAAGCTATAGACACCCGCTCTGAACTGTCGGGGAACAACCTGTTGGGGAACGTCCTGATCTGGTCCAGCCCAAAGGAGTCTAATTGCTCCTCGGCACGTCCCTGCGGAAGCCCCACCCGTGACACGTAGCAGGGGTCTGGCGCCGGATCGGTGCCGCTGGCTGCACGCAGGGCGCTCTCCTCCCGGCGCTTCCGTGCAGCGCGCAGCCTCCAGCCCCCGCACCGTGCCACCGTGCCTCGGTGGCAGTGGGCAGTTCTGGAACAACTGCAGATGCAGCCGCTGACTCTCAGGGTACCGCTGGCGTTGTGGCCACAACAGCACCTTTCTTTCCAAGAGCTCAGGTCCCTGTACCTCGTTTACCACGGCTGTAGTAGCTCCTGGCTATCTTCAGGTAACAGCAAATACCTACGGTACCTACAAATCGGTGTGCCATGCTGTATTACTAGATGTTTTTCTCAAGACATGCACACTGATGCTGGCTTCAGGTCTCGATTCTGGGACCCAGAGCCCCTTGCTTTAGCCCAGACCACAGCCGAAGAGGATGACCCCACTTTTGGATGCTGCAAATTTAAACCTGTACGTTGTAATCAAAGTCTGAGTGAAATTGTTTCTCTCTGGGGCTGTATGCCTTTGCAGAATGCTTATTTTTTGAAATTGTTCCTTATACTTCTGCTGCCTAATAAAGCAAAAGCATAGCTAATGTGGATTTTTCTACTCAGTGAGTTTGTTTTAACTTCTGCTGAATTTAGTTAGCCAATTCTCTTTCAGAGGGTTTACATTTGCAGATTCACCATGTGTTTTCTTTCTCCAGCTGCCCATCACTCCAGTCTTCTGTTCTTCGCTTCCGTGCTGGCCCTGCTAGCCCCTCTTCTTGCTCTGGACATTGAAAACCTGGAAAGATTAAAAGCAAATCTAGATGAAATCACTAATCTCCATTCAGATGAGCTCCGTTCTGGTATGCCTTTTCTCTCCTTACATCACTAAACTCTGTTTGTTCACCCACACATCAGGACCCCTCTGATGCACAGAGTGAGCAGAGAGAGGAGACGTGGAAAATAGTGTTGGGGAAGGGCAGCCACACTCAGAAATAGAAGGAACCTGATCTAACCTTCCTCCAATTTTAGATCTTAACCAAACATCATAAGATGTGGTAGTTCAACCTTCTTTGTTATTGACAAGACTGTATGTGGCAACTTTTTCTAGAGAGCTGTAGATATTCAAAGGAAAATCTTATCTCTTGCTATCTGTAGTCCATCTGTAGCCCTGAAACTTCAGAGAGATTTTGTGTAAGTGACCACACAAAATGCTTTCTGAAGCTTGCATGGTTAGATGATATAATAAACTTGTCACATCACTGATAGAGGTCACGCCACTGGAGGCGCTTGGGGAATGCTATCTTACGATGATGAGTGTTGTGATTTCTCTTTAAAGAGACCATTGCTATCTCGTATGCTTTGAGCTCCTTTTCCTCTCTGAAGGTTTCTGAAGCTCTTCATGAACTGAATGAACACAGGAATCCCTTCAGGCACCACTGAGAAGCAATGCAGATTTATAGCACCAGCACTCAACAGTTTAATCTTGGTCTAAAACCACACATAGTCTGTTTTCTTCTCGATTCCCTGCTCTACTTGAAGATGTCCCTGCTGCTCATTGCAGGGGAGTTGGATTAGATGACCTTAAAAGGTCCCTTCCAACCCAAAAATTCTATGATTCTATGAGCTCCTTGTACTTATCACTACTACTTGGATATACAGTCCACTCCATGCAACTCTGTAAAGCCATAATGCCCAGTGGACCAAACAGGCAGCTGCTCAATGACTGCAGTGTTACCCTTCCTAGTATCTTATCTCTTTAAAGAGTTGACAACCAAAACCTACCACATAGCAAGAAAAATGAGCCCAGTGGCATTCTTGAAGTGCCCTACAAAAAACTTAGTGCTGGGAATAACAGCCTGTGGGTGTGGATGTACCTCTGTGCTGTGGCACAGAGCTGCTCATCTCCCTCTTTCGGCTTTTCCCAATGCAGATGAAGACAGAGAGAACATGCAGCAGAGTGGAGCCAGTGACCCTCAGCAGATGGAGCACTGCAGTAAGTGCCCCTGCCACCCTGCAGGGATCAGGGAGAGGTGTAGGCAAGGAGGGTCCAACAGCAGCGGGTAGGCAACAAGCCTTGGGATAACCCAGCTCAGCTGCTGCGGGCAAGACTCGATGTGCTCCTCCACAGCGCGTGCCAAGGCCACTCAGGCATCACTCATTGCCAGCTTCACGCTGAACCGTGCCTGACAAGATCCTAAAGGACTTTGCAACCATTAGTGACGTGCCACAAGTCCCCTTCTCTTCTGTGGAGCTCCACACAGGGCAAGCAGAGGATGTGCCTCCCAAGAAATCCTTGCTGGGGGTTTGCAGCTGGCCACGGGGTCCAATGCCAAGGGAATGAGGTTTCCTCCTTCCTGACCCCAGGGATGCAGTGGATCCCAGGGCTGCGGGAACAGCTCGCTTACTCATTTAATCTTCTGCATAACTATGTAATAAGACACTCACCAAGCCAAACCTCTATTGTCATGAGGCAGGAGAAACATCTGAACATTGGCAAAGGCTGAGGAAACAAGAGCCTGAGCCAGAAAGAGAAGCAAATTCTGTGGTTATGCCTTCAAAATACATGCATATTCTCTTAATCACTGTATTTCCCTTACAGAGGTTTCCTGCTTTTACACTTACAGTATGAAACACAGCAGTAAAATTTTTACTACCCTGGCAAAATCCCACATATGCACATTTCCTAGAAATCCCTCTCACAGGGTCAGACAAGCAGACTGGGGTATTGCTGTGCCTGTTAGTCCTTCATGTTCTCTCCTGCCCCAGGCTGGCCCAAGGACTGCAGCGAGGTCCCTGCTGGCAGCCCCAGCGGCGTCTACGTCATCCAGCCCACAGGACTGCACCCCATCGTGGTGTACTGCGAAATGAATGTGGCGGACGGGGGCTGGACGGTCATCCAGAGGAACCGGCAGAGCACGGAGATCACCTGGGCCGAGTCCTGGAGCACCTACAAGTACGGCTTTGGGAACGTGCACACCGAGTACTGGCTGGGCACTGAGTACATCCACCAGATCTCCAACCAGAAGGTCTACCAGGTCAGGTTTGTCATCTGGGATGCCGCAAACAACACCAAGTTTGCAGACTACAACCTCTTCAGCCTGGAAGATGAGTCCCAGGGCTACCGGCTGAGGCTGGGAACGTACTCGGGGTTGGCAGGGGATGCCATGGCCTCAGACAGCACTTCCACCGTGCACGACAACATGAAGTTCTCTGCTAAAGACCTGGATCAGGACACTTCCAGCGGGAACTGTGCCTCCAGCTACGGGGGCGGGTGGTGGTACTCGGCGTGTTATTCTGTACGGCTGAACGTCAAGGGGAGCATAACGTGGGGCAGCCTGTGCAACGGGAACTGCAAAGCTTCTGCCATCCTCATCAAACCAGCTTCTTACTGCTAGTTGCATTTTCATTTCCTTTCTGTCCAACCTGAGGCTAATTCTGGCTCTGCAAAGAGATGGAAAAAGGCAACACATGTCATGGCTAAACCTAGTGTCCTATGGGGTCTTTGCTGAGGTTGGTCATATCCCAGCTACTGAAGAAAATAAGGCATTTTCCACTTCTTTGCCCTCCTGTAGTTTCCCTCTACTCCTCAGCTATGCCTTTATCGTTTTGTTCAGAGTCAGATCATTTTAGTTATGTTAATAATCAGAACAGTCTCTTGCAAAATCTGGAGTTTCCAGATCTGTAGCATGCTTCATATAAAATGCAAAACAGCCAACCCAGTGGACCTATATGGCTGTGTAAGTTAATTTACATCCTCAACTTCAGGTAAACTACCTAATTTTCACTTGCTGAAGATCTTGCTCAAGATATCAATGTGCACAGTCAAATTCCCACTCTGTACCTTTTATGTTTCAGTCTTAACAGTAGTTAAATATTCAAATAAATCTGTATTCAAAAACTGTCTCAATTGTTGAAGTCTATTTCAAATCTCTGAAGTGTTCACAGAGGTTAATATGTTAGAAGGCTTCCACCACTGAAACTCAGCTTTCCTGTAGGACAGGCATTTGGGACTGCATGGCAAAAACAATGCATAAATAAAACTTGAAACACTGCATGCAGACTTCTGCCTTTGCACACAGTAGTTTTGGGTAAGCATAGGAAATGTCAAAACATTTTCACTTTTCGCAGCAGCAATGAGTTTTAGGTTTTGTTGTCCATGCAACTTGCATCCCTAAGCTTCATGGGGAGTCCATATCCTGAGCCAGGGCCAGGATGACTTCCAAGAGATGACAGCATGGAGGGAAGGCACCATGCTGCCTTTGCTATTTTGAAATTGAAAAGAGATTTGAAAGTGCCATAAAATTTCCATGTGGAAAGACATCCTCGTTCCTGCAGTCCATCCCTCTGGCATCCACAGGACTGCTCTTCACAGGTGGAGGATCTTGCTGCCGTACCAGCCAGTGTTGTAGCTTGCAGGCAGGCCCTGCTGCACTCCCATTGTTTATCGCAGGGTGACTTCCACAGTCGCCAGCTGCAACGAGGAGAAGCAGGATGAGTCCGTTCATGCCCTAATGTTCCCCTGGCAGAAGGATGTGACCTGGAGGCTCTCAAGCCCAAGGTGAGCAAGGGAAGCAGCCGGCCCTCAAAAAAGTCTGCATGACCTGTTCCTGTGCCTGGACTTTCTAACAGCACACACGAAACACTGCCTGGTCTTCCCAAGAGCTGAAGCACACAAAAGGCCGCAGGCTTAACAAAGTCAGGCTTAACAAAGAAGGGTTGCACAATTCATGTATACCTAACACGTCCCAGGTAAGGTGATCTATCTGGACTTCTGTAAGGCCTTTGACATGGTCCCCCACAACATCCTTCTCTCTAAATTAGAGAGTTAGGGATTTGATGGGTGGACTGTTGGGTGGATGAGGAATCGGTTGGATGGTCACATCCAGAGGGGAGTGGTCAATGGCTCAATGCCCAGATGGAGATCGGTGATGAGCAGTGTCCCTCAGGGGTCCATACTGGGACCAGTACTCTTTAATATCTGTATCCATGACACAGACAGTGGGATCGAGGGCACCCTCAGCAAGTTTGCAGATGACACCAAGCTGAGTGGTGTGGCTGACACACCTGAGGGACAGGATGCCATCCAGAGGCATTTGGACAAGCTCAAGGCATGGACCTGTGTGAACCTCATGAAGTTCAACAAGGCCAAGTGCAGGGTCCTGCACCTGAGTCAGGGCAGCCCCTGTTATCGGTACAGGCTGGGGATGAAGGGATGGAGAGCAGCTCTGCTGAGAAGGACTTGGGGGTCCTGGTGAGTGAAAAGCTGGACATGAGCTGGCAGTGTGTGCTCATAGCCCGGAGGGCCACCCGTGTCCTGGGCTGCCCCCAAAGCCGCGTGGCCAGCAGGGCGAGGGAGGGGATCCTGCCCCTCTGCCCCGCTCTGGGGAGACCCCCCTGCAGTGCTGCGTCGAGCTC